CCAATGGTGATGTTTCTCTCTTATCAATGTTTCCATCTCCCTATCCCTCTCCTTTCCTCTCTGTGAAAAATCAATAAAAAATGTTTTTGTGTTTTGTTTTTTTGTAAAGGACAGCTTCATATCAGTGTAACCTTTCATGGATGAGACTGAAAATGATGAAAACAATGTAGGTTAGATCAAAAATGGGTACACTCATTCAATTTTGCATGATTTCAGGAACTCAGCACACCAGGTTAATCCTGCTCTAGAGTACACATATGCAAATTCTTAAAACATGTAGAAATCTTCATTCTGAGTTACAATACTAGCTGTCAGACATTACTAAATTTTAAATACCAAAGTTACCTATTTTCTTTAAACCTACAATCTACTTTAACAGTGCAAATAAAAATTCCTCCTCTCCCAGGTCTTTTTAGCATTTGTGCAGAAGATTTGTATTGTTAATCACCCTGATTGTTCTCTCAGTATATTTTATGCCAATATAAAATTATAAAAAGTAACCTTATGTTGAAACCAAATAAAATTTGATAAAATGCTTTATTTATCATCAAGGTAATTTTTTTTGAGTGTTGGTATTAGAAAGATTGTTTCTTGTATTTTTAAACCACAGATAACCTTGTTTGGTTAGGCAGGCAATAAGTCCTTGATTCAAGTCTTAGGCATTTCTGATTCCTTTCATAGGCTGATTTAATAAAAACTCAAATTTCTTAAGGAAATATAAGAGTTTACTTTCTGTCTTTATAAGTTTCCATGTAGAAATGGACTGTGGGTTGAGACTCAGTAATGGAGAGGTTTTCAACCTTAGCTGCATATTAGAAGCACTTGGGGAGCTTTAAAAACATCCCTCTGCCCAGCGCACAGAGCAGATCCATTATGTTGGGAATTCTGGGTGGAAGCTCTGCCAGTGATAGCAGCCATGGCTGAGACCTACGGAGCCTGATTAGAGGATCAGAAACCTAATTTAATGCCAAGAGTAAGAGTTTTCACATAAATAAGAAAACATCTTAACAGTTACC